CCAGAGCAAAAACATAGATGTAAGAAAGAACTCAAGGAATGGTCTAGGAATGGAAAATAGTTTAGGGCAGATGGAGTGTAGGGAGGAGATGGCAGATGACGGAGCAGGAAAAACAGATGGAAAGCAAATACCGGAGGGTCTCATGTTGTAAATCTTGCTGTGGGATTTGAATGCCTCTTGTAAGAGTGAGAGTTACAAATTGTCCTTAAAGAGTAAATGACATAATTAGATCTGTTTTAAGAAAGCTGATGACAAGTGGAAGATGGATTAGAGGCCAGAGTACAAATCAGGGAGACCAGTTGGAAGGCAATTACTATATCCTCGAGGGGCAGTGAACAAGGGGCAAGAGTATATCTTTAAAAGATGTTTCAGAGATGAGAAAAGAGCTCAGGAACCTTGACAACCAACTAAATATGGGCTATGAGGGTGAGAAGAGTTGTGTGGGAAGATAAGGAACCATGCCAAAATTCTACTTTGGAACCCTAGATGTATGGTAAATAGATTAATTAAGGAAGAGCAGAAAAGCAGACTAGAAAGGAATACCCATGTTTCCTACTACGGCACTTGCATCCTCAGGGAGATGGCCAGGAGATAGCTAATGGGCCACGTCTGGACCCTTGAGTAGGGAAACAGGTAGTAGAAAATAAAGACCTAGAAGGGATTTTTTATTGTGTTTGAATTTTATTGTTTTGTTTTCTCTTAAAGACAGGGTCTTATTATGACCCAGGCCAACCTCGAATTCCTGATCTGCCTGCCCTGGCCCCTTCAGTGTTAAGATTATAGATGTGCACCTCCAATACCTGTGGGGAGGCTGTCTTAAGACACATAGCAGAGAAAGAGGAAAGCTCAAGACAACAAAATCAAAGTGTCAGCACAAAACATTCAGAGAAAAGATAAAAGATGGATTTTTAACAAAAGATAATGAATGAATCCTTGAGGACAATTAAAGTCTCAGGGGCTGAAGAAAAGTAGCTCTAAACATCAGCAACGGTCCTTGGAGACAGAGGGAAGCTTTGAGGAAGTATGAATTCACATACATTCTGCCCATTCTCTCCCATATCTACCATTCTTCCCTATGGCTTCTCTCATTCCAAGGGGTCGAGTGCCTAGTGACAAGGCATGACAGCAGTAGGGGTTATGTAAGTAACAGAATCTATGTCCACAAATATATCGAAAAAACATAATTTTTGCTGCTGTTTCTTTTTTTAAAACTGTGTCTTTCTATGTAGATCAGGCTTGCTTGACCTTGGAGTAATCATTTTGCTTCTACCATAAGTGTTGGGATTATTAAGTATATGTGACCAATCCCAGCCAAAAAAGAAATTAAAAAAAAAAACCACACATACAATTTTGTTTATATGCCACCCACTGCAGCAAAGAATATCAACTTTGATTCTTAGGGCATATATTTGTTGAAATATGTTTATATAGGTTGAATATCCCTAATCAATCAGAAATGCTCCAAAATCTGAAAAGGTTCGTGCCTGACCTCAGACACAAGGGGAGACACACAGACAAAATATAGACATACTAAAAATACTGTTTAAAATTGCCTCTAGGGTGTTTGCATAAGATATAGATATAAATGAACTTCATGCAAAACACCTGGGTGCCATTATGTACAAATATTCTAAAACCTAAAAAAAAACAAACTAACACTTCTAGCCCCCAATCTTTTTAGAAAAAGGTATACTCCCAGGCCAGCCAGGGCTACAGGAAGACCCTTTCTCAAAATAAAAAAAAAAGAAAAAAAGAAAAAGTAAAAAAAGGAAGGAGGAAGAAAGGAAGGAAGGAAGGAAGGAAGGAAGGAACGAACGAACAAACGAACGAACGAAGAAAAGGTATACTCAAACCTGTAGCTAACTTACTATGCCTACGAGCATCAGTGCTTACTGAAGAGTGTGTGTATATGTGAAGGAAGAAAGAAAGAAGAAAGCAAAGGAAGGAGGAAGAAAGGAAGGAAGGAAGGAAGGAAGGAAGGAACGAACGAACAAACGAACGAACGAAGAAAAGGTATACTCAAACCTGTAGCTAACTTACTATGCCTACCAAATTGTCTTCTTATACCTTCAGTAATTAAAAAAGAGCTTTAAAAAAATAACCCTGGGGCTATAGAAATGGTTCAGTATTTAAGAGAACTTGCTACAGAGAATCCAGGTTCAGTTCCCAGCACCCACATGACAGCTCCTAACTGTCTAATTCCAGTTCCAGGTGGTCCAATGCCCTCTTCTGGCCTCTTCAGGAACTCCCTGAATATGGTCCACATTCGTACATGAAAGGCAAAACACTCATACATAGAAAATATAAATTTTATTTTTAAAAAATGTATCAGGAAGTTCTAGAGTTAACAGACTGCTTGTAACACCAGCAGGCACCCAGGCTTAGGATGATGCAGCCTCTCGGTATCAAGGAGGTACTGGTGGAGACATATCGTGCTTGGACATGCTTGTCACCTAAGAGGAATGCCACCTGCTCATTGAAAAACTCCACTCTGCCATCCATGTAAAGCAACCTTAACAATGATTGTCTTCATGATTGTCTACTAGCTGAGCCAGGTGGCTGGCATCCTACTCCACCTGCCACATGTAGCCATTAATGGGAAGAAGTTTTAAAAAACACAAGGCAGTCATGGTGATACATGCCTGTAAACCCAGCACTTGGAAAATGAAGGCAGGTGGATCAGCTCACGTTAGAGACCAGCACAGACTCCACTGTGAGGCCCTATCTCAAAAAATAAAATTAGGTGAACCTAATGACATACACCTTAAATTCCAGCACTCAGGAGATGGAGGCAGGCAGATCTCTGAGTTCAAGGCCAGGCTGGTCTACATAGCAAATTCCAGGTGAGCCAGAGCTATATAGAGACCTTATCTCAAAACTTTAAAAATATTTTATTATTTTTATTTTATGGATATAAATGTACTGTCTGCATGTATGTAAGTGCATCCATGTCATGCAATGCCTGTGGAGATCAGAAGGGGGCATCAGATCCCCTAGAACTGGAGTTACAGACAGTTGTCAGCCACCATGTGGGTGCTAGGAATCAAACCTGGGACTTCTGCAAGAGCAGCCAGTGCTACTGAGCCATCTCTTTAGCCCCTCAAAGTATTTTCATAATGATAAAGAAGAACTATGAAGTAGGCAAAGATTTCCTAAACAGGACAAAAGGCAATAGCCATAAAAAAGGAAAAAAAAATGTTAAGTGAGCTTAAAATATCCTTTTTTCTGAACCAGGATCTTACTGTGTAGCCCAGGCGTCCTCAAACTAAAAATCCTACCTCTGGCTCCTGAGTGCTGGGATTACAGGTGTGCACAACCATTACCAGCAATATTTTAACATATATATCTGACAAAAGATTGAAATGCAGAGTATGAAAGACTTCTTACAAGGAAATAAGGGGAAAAAGCTATTTAAAAGTGAACACAGAAGCCTGGTATGGTGGTGCAAGCCTGTAATCCCAGCACTTGAAGACCTGGGGCAATAGAATCACCAGTTCAAGGCTTGCCTGGCCTACATACCAAGTTCAGTACCAGCCTAGCCACAGTGAGACTGCCTCAAAAAAAATGAAGTGGACAAGACTTGAACAGAAACTCAGCAAAGGATATGTAAATACCAGTAACACGAAATGACATTCGACATCACTACTCAACAAAAAATGAATGTTCGGGGCTGGAGAGATGGCTCAGCAGTTAAGAGCACTGTGGAGCAATTAGAACTATACATTGCTGTTAAGAATGCAAAATGGTCCAAACGCTATGGAAATAATGCAGCAGTTCCTCAAAATATTAAGAATACAATTTTCCCAGGGACTCTACTTTGGATATACCAAAAGAATTAAAACCAGTCTCAAAGAGTCTCTGTATACTCATATGTATAGCAACATTATTCACAATAGCCAAAAAGTGACACCACTCAAGGGTCCATGGACAGATGAAAGATTACATATATACACAATACATTAGGACACAAGTTACAACATGGATAGACCTAGAGGCATTAGTCTAAGTGAAATAAGCCATTGCCAAAAAAACACAAAAACCAAAAAAAAACAAAAAAAACCCACCAAGCACTGTCACTTATATGAGGCACACAGTATCAAATTCATAGGGACAGACACTAGAATTGTGGCTGCCAACGAATGTAAGATGGGGGGAATACGGCATTACAGTTTAATTAATAGAGTTTCAACTATCTAAGAATTCTTGAGATGGGTGTTGGGGATAGTTACACAACAATTCAAATGTATTTAATGCTACTGAATAAGGGTTGAAATGGCAAAATGCATTTATGTGTATTTTATCACAATTTTAAAATATGTATTTTTTTAAACCTACCAAAAAAAAAAACTATGCCCTCATCAAAACAGATAAAATTAAAACCGAGAGGCTGAGCACAATGATTTATACATTCTCCTCCTGCTTAGGAAGCTGAGGATCACTTCAGCTTGAGTTCTAGACCAGCTCCATTTAATCGCAGCGCTGGGAGATCAAGGTCAGCCTGGTCCTCTACATAGTGAGTGAGTTTCAGGCCAGCTAAGCTAGAGCTACAGGGAGACCCAGTCTCAAATAAATAAATAAATAAATATGTTAGTTAAAATGTAGAGGAACTAGAACTTTTACACAGCATTGGTAGAATTTAAACTAGTACAATCCCTTTGGAAAACTGCTGGCAATGTACTGAAGCCCAGTATTAGGATCCCACAATCTCCCTCCCACATACAATCAAGAATGTTCAAAGTTACTTTATTTGTAGTACCCAAAAACTGGACACTCTCCAACGATGTAACAGGAAAACAAATGATTGCATACTCACACCAGTGAATTATTTATCAACACATTAGGGGAAACTACTGACCACACAATCACACAGATGATCTTAGACATATTATGTTATCTGAAGGAAGACATACCAGACCCTACTGTGTGGTACTATTTACATGGATCTTAAAAGCAGACAAAACTAGTGGATTAAGTCTTCTTTAAAAAGACAATTTAGTTACCTTCATGTTGGTGATGAGATGAATATTTAACTCTTGTGAAGGGCTTGAGATGTTCTATCTTGACCTGTCACATGCTACATATGCACATAAAAGCAGTACACTTTAGGTTAATGCATTTTATACTTTACCATATGTTTGTATCTGCAACGCATAAAATGTCTTTTCAGTGAGGATTCTCAAACTTAATCCAGTAAACAAATCTCAACCTTGCTCAATTTTTAAAAAATATTTTTATTTTATATGTATGAGTGTATTGCCTGCATGTATGTAAGTGCATCCATATCATGCAATGCCCACAGAGGTCAGAAGGCATCAGATCCCCTGGAACTGGACTTACGGTGGGTTGCTAGCCACCATGTGGGTGCTGGGAATCAAACCCAGGTCCCCTGCAAGAGCAGTCAGTGCTCTTAACTGCTGAGCCATCTTTCCAGCCCCAGTCTTTTTCTTTTTTGATTTCGAAGATGAGACTTTGTTCCACCCAGATTTCCCAGATGAATCTTAAAAGTCTCATGCAGATCAAACTTTCTCATTCCTCCCTTTCCTAAAGCCATGCCTTATCCATTGGGTCTTTAGTAACCTTTCTGATTTTATTTAATTTACTCTATATATTTTGAAGCTAAGCCTCCCAACTCCCACTTGCTTTCTACTGGTCAAGTGTCCAATCTGATCTGTTTGATTTTCAAGAGCATGGAACTTCACACTCTTAGAGAGCTGATTCCTTCCTAGCTATAAAGGCAGACATCAAAAATCACAAGGTAGGGCTGGGGACACAACTCAGTGGTAGACTACTTGCCTGGTATGTTACCCAAGGCCCTGGGGGTTCCATCCCCAGCAATGCCAAAAAAAAAAATCACAAGGTATCATTACACTCCAATATTATGATGAATGTGCTGTTCATACCTCCCTCCCATACCTAATCCTTACCATCCACCACCACCCACTCCAAGTTCTGTTCTTCTATTGATGGACATTTTGATACCCAACCCTAATCAACACAGTAATGTTAGCTTTTCTCTTAGGAAAATGAAAATCCACAAAGGCTGAACTCCTTCTCCACCACCTCTGGTTCTTGCTGCTCATAATAACATGAATATTAAAGACCTTAATATGCAAAATCTTGCATTGTAATGATAATCAGCCAAATCCTTTTGCTGTCATAATGAATAAACTTACAAACTTGATTGCCTCTGATCTACATAGAACATATCCTTATTTTTGTCCAATGGGCAAACTGGTGGGCTAGAAAAGCAGCCAGGTAATCCAAAGAAAAGTACGGGGGTAAAGTGAAGCACAGAAAGGCTAGTGTGAAAGAAATCTCCTGGGCCAGGGCTGTAGCTTGCTTGGTACTGTTTGCCAAGCACGCAGAAAGCCCCAGCATATGTCAGCTGTGGTTGTATACAGCACTGGGGAGGTCTCAGAGGCAGGAGGATCAGAAGTTCAAGGAAGTCTGCTAATGCAACCCCTATTCTGGCCAGTGTGACAGCCAAGTTAGCACAGCAGCAGTTTTATTAAACGCAGATAACATGTTTTTATATTGACACAGCAAGGAAAGTCAGGCAGGACAACAACGCAACAAAATTGTCCAGAACAACAGGCAAATTTACAGTTTTTTAGGAAGAATGTTTTTTAAAAGAATGTACCAAACAACTGGATAGAATGCAAAGCCACGTGGTCAGTGGGAAAACAACGCTTTTCTTTTAGACTAATCAACTGGGATAATCTGCATGATTTTTATTTAAATGTACTGTCTGAAATTGATTAGTTCTGTTTTCTCCTTTGAGATTACCTCAAAATGTTTTTCACTTTACAAAAGTCTATATAAATGTCAAAATACTGCACATAAAAGCAATTGGGTTGGTACTCCTGGAATGCAGTAATTATAAAGTTGGATAGATGGATTAATTGTCCCACATACCTGTGGTTTTTTGGATTCCTGTCAGGAGCCCCTTCTAGAAGCTCCTGTTTTGGCTTCCACACTGCCACCTGTAGACATAAAAGAGCAATAAATCACGCATTATTCATCAACAATGCATCTTTCCTAGGCATCTAACAGAAGAAACTGAGAGGAAAAGTAGCAAAATATTTCCTCTGAAAGACAAAAGTGGCATTTCTCCCATGCACAAAATATATAAGGCACCTCTCTCCCAACGGTTTGATAAGTTATTTGGTTAGAAACAGAAACATACCGAAGTCCCAGATCATCAACCAAACAACACTCTGATCAGTTCATTAAAGAGAGGTGGGTGTTCTGGCCTGGTGGCTGGCACACTCCGGGAGGTTGAGATGAAAACTGAGCATCTGGAGGCCATCCTGTACATCCAGGCTATCCAAGAGAGGCCTGGGGGTAAAGAGAGCAGAAGGAGAGGGATGGCGGGAGGGGAGGGAAGAGGGGAGAGGGGAGAGGGGAGGAGGGAGGAGAAGAGGGGAGAAGGGAGAAGTGGGGGGGAGAAGGTAGGGGAAGAGGAGCTGGAGAAGATGGGGCGGAGGGGAGGGGGAGGGGAAGAGGGAGGAGGGGAAGAGGGGGAGAGAGCATGCCCGCACAATTTACAGCTATTTCAAGGCCTACCTTTAAAAATTCGAAGACAACTTGCCCAGTTTAATAATGTGAGGATTAAGAATTCCATCATCGATGAAAAGAGGGACCCACGTTAAGATTATTTTATCACAAGGTCGTAAAATGTTTGCTTAAACATTATAATAATTCCAATCTGAACAGTTTGGTTCAATCTAAACAGATTTTCGGTAGGTTATTTTCATTATACTACCCTATACTAATAATTCCTGAAAGATCTCTGCATCCCATTGATTAAAATACAGGTAGATCCTTTTCCTTTAAAAAAAAAAAGTCATGAAAAGAATAGAGAAATAAAATATACATGAGCAATTACCAGCAAGTCCAAGCAGCCATGAGATAAAAGCAGGAAAGAGAGACAAACCCTAAAATTCCGGAGTTAATTGAAAATAGCAGACCGCAGTACTCCGGGCCGCTCCACGGAAGAGCTTTTTTACCTTGTCTTCCAGGGACAAGTGCCCCCCCGCCCCCCAGCTCCAGCATCTTAAGTCAAAGACGCCAGGAGCACTTCTTGCGCCCACCCCTCAGTGAGACCGCAGAAGCCCAGAACAAGCACGCCTGTGCCTGCCACCCCGCAAAGCCCGGGGTTCTGTTCACACTAGAGACGCGTCCCACTTACCCGTGGTTTACTTTAACGACCCGAAAGCTTGTTTGGCTTTATGAAATTGCAGCAAATCCCAGAAAATCAAGTCTCCTTGAGACACTCTCCTCTTCCTCTCCCAGGGACCGACATTCACAGGAAACCCTCTCCCTTCCCCTCCCAACCCCAAACACAGGCTGGGCCATTCCCAAAAGGGTCTCTGGCAACCCGCCAGCGGCCAATGCTGCTCCCACGTGCCACCATTAAACCCGCGTGCAAACGTGCACGAGCACCAAGGGCTCGTGTGCACGGCCAGCCCTCGGAGGTAAGTTCCACACACCCACCGCCCCGGCCCCCATCCCGGTCCCGAAAGCAAGAGGGAGCCCCCGGGTGCGGCGCTGGCACCCAAGCCCACACACAATACTCCTCCAACTCCAGCCTTCCCCGCACACGCCCTGGCCGGTCCTGCCACCAGTCTTTCCTCTCTGGATGCCTCCAATCCGCTCCGGCCGGGAGCAGGGTTCGTCTGGGTGGTTGTTGGGTGGGGGTCGAAAAAGGAGGGGGGCGAATGGCACCCACTACCCAGATCGCGAGCAGAAAAGGGGACTGCGGTTCCCCGAAGCTGAACGGGAGCTCGGATCTTCCGAAAGGGACGGAGCGGGGACAGAGCGAGTCTCAAGGGAGGTAGTCCTCCCGCACCTCTACCTCACCTAGCCCGAGCGCGCACCCAAGCGCGCACCCCACGGGGCCGTGCACCTTCCTCCCGCTGCCGGACCCGCCGGGCTGTCGCCCAGGATCGCAGCGGCCTGGGAGGCTGAGCAGCCGGGTCGCGAGGACCCCGGGGACAGGCAGGGCTCCGCGCTGGTTTCGGGGACCCACCTGCGCTCTGGGCGCCGCCGCCGCCGCCAGGGCGCCCGCTGGTGCGCCGTCTCCCGCAGCTGGAGGATGCGGCCGCGGGACAGCGGGTCCCCGCACGCTGCCTCGCTAGTGCAGGCAGGTTTCCTTGCTTTCTTGCGTCTAGGAGGATCAGTTGCCCACCTAGCCCGCAGGTTCTGCCACACGGTCCCGCGACCCGCCCGAGCCCTATACGTCCTCCCCGCCCCTTTCCCGCCGCCTAGCGCTGCGCTGCGCTCCGCCCCCCGACCGCCCACCTATCACTGCGGGGGCCCAGCCTGAGGCTGCGGGTCCGGCCTCGTGCCGCAGTTCCTGGATCTGGGCCCGGGCGAAGGTTGGAGGTGGCCCTGGGATCCGCCCTGACCCCCGCCCCCCCCCGGGCGCCCAGTCCGCCCGCGCTCACCCAAGGATGTGGGCACCGCGCACTCTGCCTTGTTCTTCAGGCGTGTCTGCACTCCAGGCTAGGCACCCTCCTTGGCCCCGAGGGTGCCTCGTGTCTTGGGGAGGAGGGGGGAATTGTAAAGCACAGAGCGAGCGGGTAAGAGAAGAAATTGCTTTGCAAACTGCCAGGGGATGCAAGTTGCTGCCTGTGCCTTGTTCCTGTTACATTAACTACCTGGATGTGCTGCCGTCCATGTCAACCACAGTAATACTCAGAGGCATCAATCTAAAGATTTCCAAGCTAATTGGTGTGGGGTTGTTGGGGTTTCGATTTTGTTTTTTGTTTTTAATATAACGCTGACAAAAAACAACAGGCCCCCTTTTTAAAAAGTTGTGTTGCATGTATGTATTATATATAGCCTCATTTCTCATTAAAAAACAACAGCAACAAAATATAAGTAACAGAGCAGCTGTGTTTTACAGAAACAGATCCAGTGGGTATGTTATTTAAACCCACTGTAATTATACTAATTGGTTCGTTTTATAGGGTATTTTAGGTATTTCTGAAAACGGTCTCAGAATTTAGGGATCAAAAATCAGAGTTTTCATTTGGCTTTTTGCCATTGTTCAAAAATGTCAATTTCATGGACATTACTAAATGTAGCTATATAGAAAAATGAATCCTTTTTCTTCGTGTTTAGATCTGGCAAAGAACAGATTTTTTTAAAGCCAAGAAATAATAAAAATTCTCATTCAGTTTTTAGTGATGGACTGGTCTGGTAGCCAAACTTCCTTTTTGCTTCCTCCTAAATTTCCTTCCAAAAATTCTTCTAAACATAAGTGAAGTCGTAGGTGCCATGGTTTTTGAGTGTTTGTTTTCTTAACTGAGATGAGAAAAAATTAATGTACTTTTTCAAAAAATCCATCCCAAGCTTCTGATACTAAATTTCATGCTGATGAGCCCTGTTTTTCAGATCTACTTTTAGTCATTTGTTTAGCCAGATACTTGAGAATCCAGTTTTTTCTGCTGTAGTTTTTTGATACAGGGTCTTGCTGTGTAGCCCAGGCTGGCCTTCAACTCTGGATTCTAATAGCTCAGCCTCCTGATAGAACTAAGTTTTGGGGGGTTTTGTTTTTTTGTTTTTAGTTTCATCCTTATAAGGCTGAAGTGCAGACTTTTTAAAATTAAGACTGAACCAAAATTAAATTCATTAAATTGGCTACTGAGAAGTATATTAGTACTGTAGGTGTTGCAGGGTCAGTCAGGACAATGGGGATGATAAACAGTCCTAAAAAAGAGTCGCTGAAGCAAAGAAAACAGTCTTTAGAAAAACTGATGCTCCCTTTTCAAAGGAAGCATGGCAAATGGCAGCAATCATGAAAGAATAGATGCTGCCTCCTCTCCTAGTCCTCGGCTATGCCAGCATTTATCTCTTCTGATCATTACAACAAAAATAAAGTAATTCAGCATTCCAGTGACATTGCTTAGTGAATTAGCAATTTGAAAATGCTTTATTACATTTTACTTGGATTAATTAATCCAAGTAAATGCCTCTGATAAATCTGGTTTTACTCTAAAATTTATTTCTGCCTCCAGAGGTGCACTCTCAAGAAATAAAAACAGCTAAGGTAAACCTAATGGTGAATGCAAGCCAGATTCTTTGGTTGTAAGTGACCTTAGAATCTTAAATTATGTATCAGATATTGGTTCTCAATTGCTCATTGGCTGCTTCTATAATGATTTCCAGTGAGTTTGCTTGGCCTCATGTATTCTCCAGAAATGCATTTCATTTATTTCTGTCTGTCTTATTGAATCTAGCTTTGCCTAAACTATTTCCATTGAAATTCCAAGAATCAGTCACTGATCTATATAGCTCACTTGACAATGATCTTTGTCCTTTAGGTTGAGTCTCCATTGAGTTCTCTGGTAAAGAATCCAGCATGATTAAACATCTAAATTTGGAAAGAATGCTTCAGTGCATAGTTCTAACTAAGAGATAACAATCGGATTTCTCAAAACCAGGAGGGTGTGACCCATTTGAACAAAAAGAAGAAAGGAACAAAAAACAACAAATCCATTTTGTTCAAGTCAAAACTAAGGGCACAGATCATCCTTGCAATTCTAAACCTGCATTGTGCTACATGATATGCAAACGGTACACTTGACATCGTTTTCCCTGTGTTTTCTTTCACCAGGACAAGTCCTTTACTCCACTGACCAAGCACCATTACATTTCATGTTTAGTTCCTGTACTATTGAGAATTTTTATTGACCTTTAAATAAGGAAGTGTACTAGACGTTGACCCCCACTGTCCCCAAGGAATCTGTGCCACCTTCTTTTTGATTTCAAAAGTTTTCTTGCTATGCTTGTGACATGCATGAGGACATATGTGACTATCCCACATATACCCCTGGAAAGAGAGCTCTAATGATAGATACTCCATGTTCAAAACAGTGGATTAAAAGAGGACCTGAGTCATCATTCTAACAGTTTAATCCCATTGGAAGATCCTCATTCTGATTGTTAACACCAGCAAAAACGTTCATGTGCTAGCTTTCCTCACATGGGAAGATGTTGACTGATAATTATTTTAGTGGATTTTTGTCCATTCACTTTTTAGGCTGTGAGCCTGAATGTAATACAATCTTCCCTCCTTTTTCCTTATAACTGAGAATTGATTTACATGGCCCTGATGAGACAGCTCTTTTGCCATTTGCCACTCTAGCTCTGAGAAAAAGCATCAAGTTACTTTACTCTGGCTGACTAGGATTAGTAGGCGACATCATTGATTCAGATTTGCAGACTGTCAATTACTTTAATTGGTCTCCTCGTGTTAGGGAAATAAGTCACCAGTTATCTCACAAGACAATGAGGATAGAGACGATATCACCCTTATAATGCACAAATTGAAATGTTGCTGCTTCTGTTACTTAAAAATATGTGTGTGTGTGTGTGTGTGCATGTATAATTCATAGCTAAATGGAAACCTGAATACTTGTGATAGACCCTTGGTAAACAAGTGCAGCCACAGTAGTGGAGCCTTCTTCCTTCTCTTCCTCCTCCTCCTCTTCCTCTTCTTCTTGTTTCTTGGGCACTTAGCAAACTATCTTACTATTTACCTCACAGGTTAGTACATTTTTAAATGCAGATCTTCTCATAAATTCCCAGCACCATATCATTCCATGGCTTAAAAGAAAAGAAAGGAACTAGTGTGTATTATATAGCAATTTGCTCAAAACTGAAGCACTGCCTTCTGGAATCTGTTATACTAGTGGTAAATAATTCCTGGTGGAGACACCTACAAGACCTGCCACTTGAAAGTGGTTCATGAAGCCCCAGGGATGCAACCTTCATGAGTGCTTACCATGCTGGGGTAGCCTTTTGGGTGATGCAGCTTCCATTGAGTCACCCATGCTCCTGTAAGTAACCCCGCATTTATGTTGCCATAGTAACATCAACAAACTCATTGGTTCACCAAGCTTGACTTAGGCATAATTGTTTCTTTGATTTGTTATGTCTACCATCTCTGAAGTGAATAGATGAATTCGCATTTATTCACGTCTCCCCAGAAAAAGTCTGTATGATAGAGTGGTTACATATATGACTCCTTATTACCACTAAGAACCACAACAGTTTAGTGAAGTCATGATTTCTTCCCACTGTGGACGATTTTGTTTTGTTCTTTTTCATGGTTGATAAATATATTCTTGGTCCCTAGGTGTTGTGGTTGGAATTGTGTTCCTCACAAAGATAAGCTGAAATCTTACCTCAGGGTGCTTTAAAATATGACTTTATTTGTAAAGATGTACTTATGATTTAAGTTAGAATCATGACATAATGGAATAAAATAGTCCTTTAATCCAGTATGACTGGTGGTTCTTACAAGAAGAAGACACAGAGACAGAAGGAAGTTGGTCTTGTGTAGCCACAGAAACACTAAGGACTAAAGTTAAGTTGCCACAAATCAGGGAACATGCAGGGCAACCAGAAGTTCAGAGAAATAAGAAGTGATTATCTTTTAGAGCCTCAAATGTGGCACAACTCTGTCAGCACCTCGACTTGGGACTTCCAGTCTCTCGAACTATGAAGCAATAAATTTTTGTTGTTTTTCAGCTATCCAGTTTGAGGTATTTTGTAACCTTAGCAAGGGAATTATCAGCAACTCTTGGTGATGTCCCCATCATGTATATCCAGTCCAAAGTAAATGCAGAGTATTTAAGAGCGATAGGAAGGCTGCTGGGAGGATGGCTCAGTTGATAAGAGTACTTGAAGACCTGAGCATTGATCTCCAGCACACACATAAAAAATTGGGTGCAGTGGTCTGTACCTGTAATCCCAGGGCTGGAGAGATGGGGACAGGAGAAGTCCTGGGACTTACTAGGCAGTCTTCCTAAATCAGTGAGTTCCAGGTTCACTGAGAAACCCTCTATCAAAAATAAAGGAGAAGGAACTTGAGAAATGGTTCAGTGGTTAAAAGTATCCCAGCACTCACATAATAAGCCTGGTATCCTGGCAAATGCCTGTGACCCAACTCAAAGGAGGATCTTGCTGGTTTCCAGCCTAGTTTAATGAGAGTCCCAGGTTCAGGAAGAGAACTTACTTCAATGTAATAAGTGAATGACAGAGGACACCCAATACTATCTTCTGGCCTCCCACATGTACACACACACACATGCACATATGCTCACAGAGACACAGACATGCTCATATGAATAAATGTATGAATTAATGAATGAATAAAAAATAAATACCTTAAAACATAAAACATAGAAAGCAATAGAGGAAAACAACTGACATCACTCTCTGACCTTCA